TGTTCGGAAAAGGCAAGTGCAACATTGTCAGAGCTGTAAACATTCTTTTCGAGAAAGGTTTGTTGGAACCAATTCCAGATGACAAGCTGACAGAAACTTTTGTACCAAAAGACGAAACAAACTTTTCACTGTTAGCAAGACCAAAAGTTGTTCCAGACAAAGTTCTAGTACAAAAGAAGTACACAATTCCACAAGGAGTTGGATTGTTCGGATACCAACCTGAACCAGAAGAACTTCCAATGAGGTTGCAAGAACTTCAAGATGCTATAAACAAACTTCCATTGAGACATCCAATTGACGTCAAATTGTATTGGAGAGCATCTGAGTTAGGTCAGAAGGTTTTATATGAAACAGGTTGCTTCGACGATGTTTATGAGATAACAGGAGAAGTTTCTCAGAAGATAAGAGACTCACTTGAATTTCCACAAACTGGACCAATTGGTTGCGACAAGTTCGACTCAATGAAAAGATATACTATGTCGACCTTAACGCTGCATACATGAGGTTTGTCCAATATATTCCGACTGGAATTCCAAACGAAGATGGTGAGTTCCCGGGAAGGAACTATACAGTTGGAAAAGTCATACAACAACTGTATGATATTAGGAAAGCTTCAAACCCCAAACTTGCAATGACACTCAAATTGCTTATGAATTCGACATGGGGATATTCCATTAAGAAACCTCAAGAGATGAAGAGTAAACATTATGAGAAGGTCGACAACTTTGTTGAAAGGTTTTCTCCTTTTGTTTTGAAGTACGAATTCACTCAAGGTCAAAGTGGCTTAGTAACCACATTAAAACCTATTGTCGAACATTGGTCTTACCCTCAGTTCGCAAAGCAGTCCTTGACAACTACAACAAATTCTTCTCCGAAGTCAAATCGAAAGTTGTGGTTTACTATGAGAACATTGACGCACTCATGACGAACGAAGAAGGGTACAACAAACTCATTGAAATGGGTTTGTCGGTGAAAAGATGGGTCAATTCAAATTGGACAAAATTTTCACCGAAGTTCATGTCCTCTCCAAGCGTAAGTACTGGGGCATACTTGAAGACGGCACAGAAATAAAACATTGCATGAAATAAAAAATTTTTATTCGAATTTGAATTAAAATGTGGGAATTCTTGGGAACGGGAAAGGCTTATTTACTTGAGGAACAGGTAAAGGTGGTGGAGGTGGAGGTGGTGGCAACCAGTCCATTTTATATTCCTTCCTAGCTAATTTCCGTTTAATTTCATGGTCGCCCTCGGAGTCTTTGAATCGGACAGGTCGAGTTACACCATTCTTGGTCTCAAACTCATATATAACCTGTTTGTCTGTATTTTCATCGACTATGGCACGAGACACAAACATTGACCAAACGGACAAAAAGTGTCATTTCGGATGGTCACGCAGCCAATCGCATTCGAGCACTTCGAAGAAGCCTTACGTTCCAAGGGAGAGGGTGTCTGGTGCAAGGCAGAGGTCATGAAACTCTACGAGCAGTACATCCTCAATGCCTGGGAGGACAAATCGTCCTTGGATTGGCAATTCTACCAACTCCTCTGGGACGACCTCCTACGCAACTGGGATAACGAAAGAGCCCAATTCAAAGGTCGGGAACTAATTTTGCAAATTACCCTTAATTTAACATACTTATCCAAATAAACACCTAAATTTACTTGGGGTTTCCCCCTAAAATAAAATTTTTTTACTCTTAGAACCACTCGAGGTTCTCCTTACGGTTGTTGAGCTTGTCACCGTCAATGTGTCTGACCTTCGTCTTCTTGCCTGGATTTGGAACCCATTGAATTGCGACAAGCTTGCCCATGGAGATTGAACCGCGATTCCGAAGGTTAAGGTTCAAGTGTCCCAAGTTGTTGAGGACTGGGGTAAGAACCTTGCCGGTCTCCCTGTTGCGGATTTGGTATGGGTAGGGTTGGGAAATTTCGTAACCGTCATCGGCAACAAGGGTTGCCCAAACTTCCTCTTCTTCGTGTTTCTCTTCTTCCTCTTCTTCCTCTTCTTCCTCTTCTTCCTCGACAATTCCTTCTTCAATTTGGTACTCACGAAGTACGGTGTTGCATGTTCTGTCCTTTCCGAGTACCTTCCAGATGGCGTCTATCTCTTCGAAGAAACGGTAGATGAGTCTGGCAAGGTCTCGGTTCTCTCTCTCGTAATTGCGCAAGGTTTCCGTGAAATCGTTCAGGCATTTCTCATTGGAAGCTTGGTTCATGAGGACATCGGCTTTGAGATTGGTCATCTCTGTCATAAGACTACTTTGGAGAGTCTTAATGGTGTTTGTCAGATGAGCTTTCAATTGGGCAATTTGAATTTGAACTGGGCGCTTGTCTGGCAACCTTGAAAGGACATCTGCTATTGTGTTCGGCTTCGGTGCTTGTTCGGACATCGAAAAAATGAAGTGGTTTGAGAATGGCGGTTTTACTTCAAAAAGCTTGTTATGACAGTTATGTCATACAACAAGTTTAAAATAATATCTTGTTCTTCTTCTGAACGTTTGTTGTCTCTTCCGATAAAAGTTTCGAACATGAGAACCAAAAAACGTTTTTTGAGATTGCGGAAGAGTTCAGGCAAACGTTCATATTCCGGATATGTTGGGAGCAGTTCGAAACATCTGAGCTGACTTTCGGACAAAATTGGGACAATGTCAGAAAATTCATCTTTGGTCGGACTGCTTGAAGGTAAGTCCCTTACATGTAAGTAGCTCTGGTAAAGTCTTCTCATTTCTGCTAACTTTTGGAGTATAGCTTCGTAGTTTAGAAGTTTTAATTTTAATTGTCTTATTCCACTCTTGACATCTAAACGGTAACTATCCATGAGGTCAAGAGTAGCTTTGGTAGCTTTAAGTGGAGCTATCTGTTCCTTGACTTCTGCAATTTTGGTTGCAATTGTGGTTTGAGCTCCTTCAAGTTCGCCGTCTATGTCGTTCTCAACGCCTTCAACCATGGCTTGAAACTCTTCATCGGTCCATTGAGATTGGTGTGGGACGAATTTAACTTGCTTCATTCAAAAAATGAAAAAAAATGTTTTTACTCAAAACGTTAAGGTTGACTGAACTGGTTGGATGTCGCCTTCACAGGTTATGTAGAACGGCTGACCCGAGAAGTGAAGGAGAGACTGAATTGCCAATTTCATATGGGGTAGGGGGTTCTCCTTGTTTGGTATTTTTATCCAAGGACGTTTGTTTAGGAACTTAACAAGAGTTTCTCTTTTGGCGTCCTTTATGTCGTCGAAAGGAGTTTTTTCTGGTATTTGAATTGGAATTCCAGTCGAAGTCTCGAGATTCAAGGCAGCCCTTCCAGAAATAGCGGTGAACTTGACCTTGGGCTTCATTACCCTGCGCAAGTACTGCTTAACAACTTCATTTATCTCTATAAGGTAAATTGCCTCGTCAAATCCTTCTGGTTTCCGAGTCCTTCCATCCGACAGGAAAATATTTTCCCGACAACTTGAAAAAATTTTCCGGACAAAGGGAAAAAATTTTCCCGACGACAGGAAGAACTCTTCCAGTTGTCCGTCCGTAAACCATTCAAATTTTCGAAAATTGAGAACTTTTTGGTCGAACTTCAGAAAAAGTTTTTCCTTCCGACAGAAAAAGTTTTTTCTTCCGACAGAAAAAGTTTTTTCTTCCGACAGAAAAAGTTTTTTCTTCCGACAGAAAAATATTTTCCATCCCACAGGACACAAACGGATGACTGACGTACCACCAACCGAGCCCATTCCCAAACCAGAGGAACCTAAAGCACCAGCCCCTGCACCTCAGTTCCAGCAAGTACCTCCGATTTACTACCAATTTCCACCTCAAGGTTACTACCCACCACAAGGCTTCCCGAACTACCCTCCTCAGCCTATGCCTTACTTCCCCAACCCTTGGATGTTTATGCAAAACCCTGCCCCACAATTCCAATCTCAATCCAAGAGAGACCAAGAGTTCGAAGAAGGTCTGAACCGTTTACGCAAAGAGTATGCCACAGCCCCTATGGAAGACGACAGGCTTTCAGTCTCTTCCCTCAAATCGACCGATTCGACTCGTACCACAGATTCGGTTCGTGACCGTGAAGACTACCTCAAGCAGTCTGAGAGACTCTTCATCCTACAATCATTTACAGTTGGAGCTCTCAAGAACATGCGCAATTACGAAGGTCAGACACCAGCTGGAGACCGCAAAACAGACGTACTCGCAAGAGCCGTCCAACTGGTCAAGACAAAGACTGAGATAGTCGACTTCATTCTTGCAGCTTGCCCATACAAGTAAGAGATTTAAACTTTTCCCCAGCTTCAACATTGGGAAAGGGCTGTAAAGTCGCTCCCGAATACAGCAGGTGCCAGAGTATTTAAAAGAGAAGCCCTCGTACGAAGTTTCTATGAGACTTCTCCATTCAAGAAGATGCTTAATAGAAAATCGTACGAGGGCCATTTGGAAACTCGCGTCCTGGTAATGTTGGTGACCGGAGGTGTTTGAGATTTGAAGACCTCTGGTACTAACATGTACCAGAATTTATGAATGAATTTAAGATGGCATTATAAAAATGGTCCAGCGGTTTTTTCAAAAAATTTTAGATGAGATTTGCATAGATTATAGGATTATATGATTTATACATTTATGAAAAATTAATATATATAAATATAATGTTGAGATAAATTATTTGTAAATTAATGTATTTTAAATATTGTTTGAATTTGAGGTATAATTTTAAGTAATATTATTTTATTAAGAGTTATTTAATATAAATATTTTGTTAAATTATTAATATAAGTAATAAAATTGAGACTCCCTCCCTGTTTTTGATGTTTTGTCACTTTTTCCGTATTCTTATTGGTTTCAGGAATAGTGATGGTTAAAGACAACGTTAGTTTGCTATAAATTGTTTCTGGGGTAACACTGCAGGGAGGAGGAAAACCATACATCATCGCGTTTCGGGATATACGCAAACAACGGGACAAAGTAAAGACTACAGCCACCTTACATGACAGTTTACGCATGGTATAAGAATTGCTTAGTCGTCATTTTCAACTTCTTTAGCATATTCGTCAGGAGTTGTCTTATATTTGTTAGGAACTGTCTTTGAAAGTATACCACCTTTGAACTTTGACAAGTTTGAAACGAGGTCTGACAATAGTAGTTTTATCTTCTGCTTGCAGTCTGTACATTTTGCCATGTTTGCCTAAAACTTCATAATATTCTCTTGTATACTTTTCTTCTATTTTTACGAACACGAATGTGAGTACCTATCGGGTTCCATTGTTGTCATAGTCAATAGTATTTTTCATATGGGTCCGCGTTTAGGTATTTCTTATTTTTACTTTGTCACCTTTCTGAAGTTTGAAGCCGCGGCATTCTTTCTTGTTTGTCTCTTTTGACTAAATTATTAAATATATAGTCTTTCTCTAAGTCAGGGTTGTTTTCATTATCTTCGGGGGAGTGGTTTCCCAAACCTTTTTGTTTACGGTTATTGTAAATATTTAAAACTTGTCTCATCTTTGCCATGGAGAAGTGTCTATACTTGTCGTCATATGACATTTCATTTGCTTCACCACCTTGTGGTTGGTTTAAGTCTCTTAACATTTTTATACAACCGTCAATGAACACAAGAGCAGAATGGTTTTGGTCGACAATGAAATATTGGTTTACATTTTTTGAACGCAGATAGTTTTTTTACATCATCTGATTTGAAAGAACTTTCACAGTCAGATGTCAGTTTTGTTGGATGGTATTTGTCAACGAATATTGTCAAAGCAGTCAGATACTAAAAATTATTTGGACTGTAATGGTATGGCTTCACAGTATCTTGTGTTTTTGACCGACAATATTAGCCAGTATGGTGGTCCATCTTCTCTATACCGCTGGAATGTTTTCCAAGATATCCATAAACCAAGCATTTGGTGTTGAACTAAAGATTTTTATCATGAGTGCTTTCTTTGTGCGCTTTAGAAACATAGGGGTCCTTGTTTGGATTCGTCATTTTTAATCCTATAAGAAATGGTTTATTTGGCGCATTAGCAGGAGTTGCATCCAGATTTTTGCCGCAGTGGGAACAATAGCCAGAGGTGTATTTGGAGTTGGAAGGAAGATTTTGAGTACATTAGGTATACTTAAAGAGAAAGCACAACCTATTATAACAAACTGTACAGAAAGGTTGGGATGTAGCACGAGATGCAGCAAATCTTATTCCAAATCCTGAACAAGAGGAAAAGTTCAAGGATGGATGGACAATGTAGGAAGACAAGCAGGAAACTATTATAACAAAGCAAATGACTACTATAACCAAGCAGGACACTATATGGACCAAGGTGAAAGATTCTTAACAGAGGATATAACCATGCACAACAATGGGTAAACAATAACCAACCTCAACCGCTCAAACGTGGGGAATGTAAAGTTTTTTACTGAGATGAAATGAACAATACAGCATTGAGACAAATGGGTTCAAGATGGATTTGTCGGCTTCCAGCAGTTACACAACGTGTTTGTCAAGTTCTTCCTATACCTCAGGAAGTTTTAGACCGACTTAAAAACAAACAACACAGTTGAAAAAAACCAACTAAAATTTTTTACTGAGATGAAATGACCGAAGAAGTTGAAACGGTAGATTTGACACACAAAACAAAAAGTTCAGAACCATTGTCAAAACCTGTCAAGAACTTACAGATGAAGAGAAAAATTCAATAATAGAAAGTGCCAGGTCTGGAATACAAACCTAACTATAAAGTCACTTTTCATAGAAATGGAACGGCAAGTATATCTCAAAAAAGAAACAGACTCTCACAAATAAAATATTGAAGTCTGAAGGAGCTTTCGAGACAAACAATGGAAAAGTTTACTTCACTGACCAAAGTTCATTATAGAACATCTCATTGACTTAGAGTCGAAATATTCTAAACTTTACAACAAACACAAAAAGTTGAAAGGAAAAAAAAACAAATGGCATATGATATTTATGAAGATGTTGACAACAACTGTTCCTGCAGGTGAGGTAAAGTCAGAGGAACCGAAAGTGAACGAAAAAACCGATAGAAGAAGAGAACCAAAAAACTGAAGATAAACCAAAACCAAAGTTTAGTTTGGAAACTAAACCAAGTCAACCTTCATTAGCTGGTATGGGTTGGCGTCAAAGACTTATGGCAGCAGGCGGTTATGTAAAGTAAAGAAAAAAACATTTTTTTATTTTTTATAAAAATGCCCCATATAGAATGGATAGAAAAGTCTGCTAGAATAAAAGCAGAGTTGCAAGAAGATATGGTTGGAGAGTTTCGAAAGATTTTAAATATAGGAGGGAGAACCCATAAAAGTCTATGACAAACTGGCTGGTCTCGACTACGAAATGGATTTGGAAACAGCACGTGCAAATTATCCAAACAGACTAGAGAGGTTAGAAGAAGAACGTCTTATGGACATGCCTTTCGATGTTAGTGAACCTCAAGTTGAAGGACACGACGGCTTTGCCAGATTCTACATGGAAACATGACGACAATTGCATCCTTTGAGAAGGAAAAAGGTAGTGGAAGAGGACATGCTCCCATGAAAAAGAACAAGATATGCATATGAGAAGTATCGTGAAGTTAGAAAGTCAAATTACATTCTGGTCGAACTTTACAGTAAACTTTGACGAAGGAAAGAACAAGAAGGCTTCATGGGTGTACTTGCTGCATAATTCAAGATGGAAATAAGAAAGGATACAATCTCAGATTGAGCCATAACAGATTTGGATGGTCACATTTACTATGCACATGGCAATGACAACAGCTGCAATGCTTCTTGACGCTTTCAAGACTACAAAGAGAGAACAAATGGTTGACTCCGACTCAGACATTTTGAATGCAATTGAAGGAATTGCAAGTGTCAAGTTTCGAATGGTACCAACCTAACCCTCAAGCAGTCAGACAACATGCTGGATACTTCCCCTTCAAAATAAGTCTGACATTGACTTGACAAGGTATGGAATTTTACAATTCAATTGAAACAATTGTCAACGAACCTTGCATTCTTACATGTCTCAGGAACTCTGGTCTTGTTACAGAAGAGAAGATAGAAAGTATCTTGAGTCATGTGTGAAGACAAGGTACATTCTCAGAGGTCAATTGGCAAAAATTGCACCGTGGCAAATGTCAATATCCGAGTCAGCATACCTACAGCTAAAGGTTCTTCACATGACGACTATGTTGTTGAGTTCAATTTACCATGGTTGAAGATTGGTAATTGTCCACAACCACTTCATGTTGAACGAAAGTCTTACAAAACCCATTGTTCGGAAAAGGCAAGTGCAACATTGTCAGAGCTGTAAACATTCTTTTCGAGAAAGGTTTGTTGGAACCAAATTCCAGATGACAAGCTGACAGAAACTTTTGTAACCAAAAGACGAAACAAACTTTTTCACTGTTAGCAAGACCAAAAGTTGTTCCAGACAAAGTTCTAGTACAAAAGAAGTACACAATTCAACAAGGAGTTGGATTGTTCGATACCAACCTGAACCAGAAGAACTTCCAATGAGGTTGCAAGAACTTCAAGATGCTATAAACAAACTTCCATTGAGACATCCAATTGACGTCAAATTGTATTGGAGAGCATCTGAGTTAGGTCAGAAAGTTTTATTAATGAAACAGGTTCTTCGACGATGTTTATGAGATAACAGGAGAAGTTTCTCAGAAGATAAGAGACTCACTTGAATTTCCACAAACTGGACCAATTGGTTGCGACAAGTTTCGACTCAAACGAAAAGATATACTATGTCGACCTTAACGCTGCATACATGAGGTTTGTCCAATATATTCCCGACTGAATTCCAACGAAGATGGTGAGTTCCCGGGAAGGAACTATACAGTTGGAAAAGTCATACAACAACTGTATGATATTAGGAAAGCTTCAAACCCAAACTTGCAATGACACTCAAATTGCTTATGAATTCGACATGGGGATATTTCCATTAAGAAAACCTCAAGAAGAAGAGTAAACATTATGAGAAGGTCGACAACTTTGTTGAAAGGTTTTTCTCCTTTGTTTTTGAAGTACGATTCACTCAAGGTCAAAGTGGCTTAGTAACCACATTAAACCTATTGTCGAACATTGGTCTTACCCTCAGTTCGCAAAAGCAGTCCTTGACAACTACAACAAATTCTTCTCCGAAGTCAAATCGAAAGTTGTGGTTTACTATGGAAACTTGACGCACTCATGACGAACGAAGAAGGTAAACAAACTCATTGAAATGGGTTTGTCGGTGAGAAGATGGGTCAATTCAAATTGGACAAAATTTTCACCGAAGTTCATGTCCTCTCCAAGCGTAAGTACTGGGGCATACTTGAAGACGGCACAGAAATAAAACATTGCATGAATATAAAAATTGCATGAAGTAAAAACGTTTTTTTAAACCATATATTTTTAACATATATTAAATGCTTCAGGTTGAAAAAAACAAAGAACAAAAGTAGCAGATTACAAAACCGTTAGACTATATGCTTTAAATGCCGTAGGACTATTTCAGATGAAGAAATTTCATCCCCGAGCATACAGGTTTGACTAATCCAAGTTCGTTGGCTTCAAAGTCCTTCAGATGCAAAGGCAATAGGATTTAAGAAGAGTTTTGTTTTCAAATAAGAACTAACCAGTTTTAATGTTCGCAGTATATTTTCATAGGGCAGTATAAAAGGTTCTGATGGTCCTAATAAGACAAAATTTGACGAAATGAAAATCTTTACAATTCGTTTTCAGACGAAAAGTCTTGAGAAAACCTAATGACTTTCAACTCAATGAACAAATATTATTGGAATTTCAGAAAAATACGACTCTTTACTAAATGGAAACATACTATGAAACTAGAAAATAATGACAAGATTGACTCCACCGTTTCATTTCAAAAAGATTGAAATTAAACCTCCAAGAGATACAGAGTTTTTATTTTGGTAGTGACAAACGTCTTGGGCACAAAATTTCTTCGGTCTAAACCAGAACAACCATTACCACCAGATGGTCCATTTAAATTTTACTTCCTACCAAGCAGATTTGAAGTTTTATAGAAACGTGTTTGACCCTCAAAATGTTTATTGTGTCATGCAAGTTTCAGTTCAAAAGCAAACAATAGTTTTCTAATGTATCGGTAAGGACTTTATGACTTGGCTTCTAAAATTCTACGAACCACCTAGTAAAGTTCTCTGACTTTCAAGTTTG